ATTGGAAAATAAAATGCCACATCTCAATGTAATTTATTAATATTTTAAACACTAGGCCAGACATGGTGGCTTACGCCTATAATCCCAGCACTTTGGGAGGCCAAGGTGAGAGGATTGCCTAAATCCAGGGGTTCAAGACCAGCCTGGGTAACATGGCGATACCTCGTCTCTACAATAAATTTTTAAAAATTAGCTGGGCATGGTAGTGCACACCTGTATTTCCAGGAAGGTTGAGATGGAAGGATCGCCTAAGCCCAGCAGGTTGAGGCTGCAGTAGCTGTGAGCATACCATTGCACTCCAGCCTGGGCGACAGAGTGAGACTCCAACTCAAAAAAAAATTAACCAGGCTTGTGCTACTCAGGAGGCTGAGGTAGGAGGATTGCTTGAGCCCAGGAGTTGGAGACTGGAGTGAGCTATGATTATGCCACTGCACTAAAGCACTTGGCCCAGTCCAGGGAAGCCAGTGATTGTTTTGAGACCTTAGTCATTGTTGTGGTTATACCAGGGTCTGTCTTATTAGTTTACATTGATGCCAGTACCTGCCATGAGGTCATGCATGTAACTGAGAGGCCACCTGGAGAGCCTGCAGCCAAGACCCTCGATGCTGCCTCCTCCAATGGCCCTGCCTCCTCTCCCCTCAAACCCCAATCCCTCTCAGGATTAGGCTCCTCCACAGGGTTACCTGGGTTTTCTCCCAGCACGGTGGTTGTTCCAGGATTTGAGAAGGTCTGGATCTGCGGAAGCTGTCATTCCTGCTGTGAACACCCTAAGGGGGCAAGGACATGATTATGAAAACCAGCAGGCCGGGCTTGGTGGCTCAGTCTGTAATCCCAGCACTTTGGGAGGCCGAGACTAGTGGATTGCCTGAACCCGTGGGATCGAGACCCGCCCAGGCAACTTGACAAGACTTCGTCTTTACAATAAATAAAAAATTAGCCAGGCGTGGTAGCACACGCCTGTAGTTCCAGCTACTTGGAAGGCTGAGGAGGAAGGATCGCCGGAGCCCAGCAGGTCGAGGCTGCGGTGGCCAGGAGCGTGCCACTGCACTCCATCCTCCAGTCTGGGTGACAGTGAGAGTCCAACTCAAAAAAAAAAGAAAACCAGAAAGAGGCCAACATGTCTTCCTTAGCTCATCTTCCTTTGAGACCAAGCACCTCTGCAGCTAGCCCATGTATGAGTACCTGAGGTGCTGTGGTCACACCTGCAGGGCACGGCTCTCTGTTTCTGTCCCACCCAAAGGGTCCCCTTCGGTCAGGGATGGACACCCACCCATCATCACCTGCCTGGCAGGGCTTCAGGATCACAAGGGTGAGTGAGGTGCAGGGGCCATGTCCTCTCAGCAGCAGGACACTGGTCACACCTGGGCATGGGGAGAGCACACTGGTGACGTCACCCACCTTCTGGGGTGACTCACTTCTTCTCCCTCTCTCGGGTGAAAGTCGTGTTCAGAGCTGCCGCAGTTCCTCTGACATCTCCATGGCAACGTTCACGCGGATCTCATAGAACATAAGGTGTTTGAGCTGGAAGGGACCTTAGAGATAGGTTCCTTCCACCCCCTCATTTCATGGAGAGGAGAGGGGCACAGATCCAGAGAGGGAAAGCCACATGGCCAGCGTCACACAGCAAGCCAGGGACCCAGCCAAGAGCACAGATAGCTGAGTTCTGTAGGCCTGACTTTTCTGGAAGTGTTCTGGGGACACAAGCTTTGGGGGCTTTGCCACTCCCTGCCCTTTGCTAAACCACCCTTGGAGTGCAGCCCACCTCTCTCCCTGTTCAGCCTCAGAGCTCTCTCACAGTGCCTGGTGGGAGCAGGAGCCAGCAGGATAGGGCCCTGTCCTTACAAGCTTGCTGGCTGTGCATCCAGGGAGCAAGAAGTGGGGGCAGGAGGAGCCAGGGAAGGCTACCTGGAAGTGGCTCCAAGCAGGGCCTGGCAGGTTGCAAGTCTCTCATTGTTGCCCATGCCCCTCTTCTGGCATGCAAGGCTATGCTCTGTGGATGAGAGAAATGTAGGGTGAAGCTGGTGGGCCCAGAAAGAGACTTTCCTAGGCCATGGGTCCCAGAGGTTGTCATGACCAGGACTCATCACTGGGGCACACAGCACTCCAGAACAAGGAGGAAAGACACCCAGAGAGGCAAGTCAGAGGTCCAGTGTAGGAGTAGGAGGCCCCAGCACAAGGGCATCAGGGGCCCAAGCTGTGAGCTGGGGTCACTCCATCCCCTTGGGGACATAGACACTTGGAGACCCTCCCTTGCCCAGAAAAGCCAGCACTGCACCTGAAGGGTTGAGGGCTGTAGCACCCTTCCAGGGAACACAGTCCTTGCTCCACCTGTAGTTTGGTGAGCCTCAGGGCTCACCTCGACTCCAGACTCTGCCACGGGCATCTGCCCTGACTGTGGGCCTCTTCTCTCCAGGTCAGAAGATCCCAAGAATCTGGACCTCCCCAGGCCCAGCCAAGGCCACTCTCCTGACCTTTCCCATCAAGCTGGTGCTGGCCTCCTGCCCTGCCTTTGCTGGCAGCCCACACTAGTTATTTACTGCTGTGTAACAAACATCCCCCAAACGCTTCTGAATCTGCCATTTGCAAGGGCTCAACAGGGACCTTCATCTCTGTCCTGCGTGGCACCAACTGGGGCTGGGGAGTCCACCACCAAGATGACAGGTCAGTGCCTTTCCACATGGGCTGCTCCACAGAGCTGCCTGGGCTTCCTCCCAGCATGGAGGCTGTTCCAGGGTACGGAAGGTCTGGGTCCAGAAATGGATAGAAATTTGCTTCTGTTGCAGCTATTGGTCAAGGCAATTCCAGCTCCTGCCCAGGATCAAGGACAGGACATGGAACCTCCCCCGTCCTGGGAAGAGTAGCAAATAACTTAACCCATTTTTAATCCACTGCAGCACCCACTGTCTCTGATTGCCCCATGGGCTCTGATTCTCTCTTCCTTGCCTCCAGGCCTGCAGGTCTCATCTTCTCCAGCGGTCCCCCCACGCCCCTGCCCTTGTCCCTAAGCCCTCTCTCCTGGGTCACTGCAGTCTCCCTCAGATCCATCTCCTGGCCCACAGGCTCCCCCATCCATCCCCTCTGCCACTCCCAGTGTTCCTGTAGCACAGTGTCCTCTCTCTGTTGCTAAGCTCGGAAACCAACATGGCTCCCTACTTCCAGCTCCTGGGCATACTGCTCACATTGCCCTATGGTCTAGCCCCTCCCACCTCTCCAGTTGAATTACCTCTCATTCCCTCCAAGTTGAGCATCTTCAGCTAAAGTGTCCACCTACTGGCATGCTCATTCCCTCCACCTGATGAGGTGCTTTACTTCCTCTTCTGTTAGACTCCAACTCAACCCTCAAAGCCCAGTGCAAATCCTCCCTCTGGACAAAGCCTCACTCTCTCTACCAATCACACTAGCCTTGCTCTCACCGCATGAGACATACTCGCCTCAAGTCTGTGTTACCAAGACATGTCCTCCTGAAATGAGGCCCATTTCTCATTCAGTTGTTTATTTATTTATTTTTGAGTTGGAGTCTCACTCTGTCACCCAGACTGGAGTGCAGTGGCCACTCCCAGCCACCGCACCCTCGACCCATTGGGCTCCGGTGATCCTTCTGCCTCAGCCTTCCAAGTAGCTGGAACTACAGGCGCGCGCTACCATGCCCGGCTAGTTTTTGATTTATTGTAGAGATCAGGTCTTGCCAAGTTGCCCAGGTGGGTCTCGAACCTGCAGGCTCAGGCAAGTCACTCACCTCAGCCTCCCAAAGACACGGGATTACAGGCTGAGCCACCGAGCCCGGCTCTCACTCAGTTCTTTCACCAATTTGATAACTGCTCATTGAGGCCCAGAGCAGCTATAGGAGACAACAGGGACCTAGACAAGCTGCTTCCTGTGCCCAGAAGAGCTGACACTCCAGAGGGTGAAACAGATGGCAATCAAGAGACATGATCGAAGACTGCAGGGACTGCTACAAGCCACAAGAGCTGGGGACCGTGACGCAGGTGCCCAGAGATCCCCATTTTCAAGGGAAACCAGGGGCCTGGATTTTTACATCAACTCCCCTAATTGTGAAGGTGGCAAGCACAAGCCTGTCTCCTCTGCTGCTGGAAGCTCCCCTCTCTGCCTGGCCTCCCACTGCCTCTGGCTTGTCTGCCTCCTTCCCTCTTCTGGTCACCCATCAGTGCTCCTCCCCCAACAAGGTGCCCAACTTGTAGTGCCTGCCCCTGGGGCACCCAACTCCTCCTGGTTCCAATGGCCTGGGGATGCTCTGAGCAGCAGCTAGCAGGAGGGTGTGGGGACCCTGGGGCCAGTGGGCAGTGGTTGCTGAGGCCCCCAACTGAGACCTGGGCCAACCGTCCTGAAGGTGGCCTCCCAGGGGGTGGACACCTTTAGTCCCCAGGCCTGCAGCAGTCGGAGCAAATGCCATGTCCCAGGCCCACTACACACACATCTGAGGATTAGCCTGGAAGAGATGGGCCAGAGGAAGGAGTCAAGGAAAGGAGGCCTGAGGGCTCTTTGCTCCCCACCCCAGCTCCCAACAGGTCTCTGAGGAATGAGGCACCAGGGGAGCTCTGGCCAGCTCTGCCATGCGACAGTTTGTTTGTTTATTTATTTGAGTTGGATTCCTACTCTGTCACCCAGGCTGGAGTACAGTGGCACACTCACAGCCACCCTAGCATTGACCTGCTGAGCTCCAGTGATCCTTTCGCCTCAGCATTCCAAGTAGCTGCATGCTACCACGCCTGGCTAATTTTTTTTATTGTAGAGACAAGGTCTCGCCAAGTTGCCCGGACTGGTCTCAAGCAATCCGCTCGCCTTGGCCTCCCAAAGTGCTTGGATTACAGGCTGAGCCATTGAGCCTGGCCAAGAGTTTATGTACTCTGGAGCTAGAGTTCCCTGGGCAAATCCTGGCTCTGCCCTGTCCTGGCCTTGGTGACCTTGGACAGCTCCCCTTGTCTTTCTGGATCTCAGTTTCCCCATGTGTACATTGGAGTCCATAGCAGCACAGACCTCACAGGATAGCGTTGAGGGTGACACGAGCCTGGCACACCACAGTGCTCGATGTGAGGAAGCTTGCCATGGCTTCTGCTGTGAGGCTACTGCCAGGCCCTCCCAAGGAACCACTGTGCCAGGCAGCCTCTCTCCATCTGCACTTCCTGAGGCCTTTGGCCCCAAGAGCAGCTGGCTACTTGGGCTCTGGACACCATCAGCTGGGAGGGTGCAGGCCTCTGAAGGGCCCAGGGTCCTCATGAAGATGTTATGTCTTGGGGGACAGCAGGGCCATCCCTCCAGCTCCCAGAGGAGCACCAAGAAGCACCCCATCCCAGGGGTATTGCCCCTCTCCACTCACTGCCCCCCCCGACTCTGACTGTCTCCATATCATTCTCACCACCCGGAGCATTGTGGGCGGGGGTCCTGGTACAAAGCCCCAGTCAGAACAGGTGGGGAGGGGGTGTCAGGCCTTAAGATGGGCGTGCCAGGGACGAGCTTAAAGTTTGGAGAGCCAGTGCTGGCCACCCTGGGACCCTAATCTGTGACGGGAAGGGTAAGGGGCCAGCCACAACCTGGGGGGAAAGGGCCTCCCATCTTCCGGATCCCCGAGAGCAGAGTCCCATGGGAGAGGACTTTCAGAGGGCCTGCTGCTGGCTGTGACACAGACTTCCTTTTTCTGGAAATCGAGGCTTCAGCCCAGCGATTCTGCCGGAGAGCGCTGTGCCCGCTCAGCTGTGGGTGCCCGCCGTGTTCTGCCGCTGATAACCAGCCGTCAGCTGTGCCCCGAGCACTTGGGTGCAGTAGGGTTTGCTTGCCAAGCCGGCATATTGGAGCTTCCTGGGCCCGCCTGCTCCGGAGGGGACGGAGCAGCGAGGGGCAGCGGGCCAAGTGGCCGGCATCTCTGGCTGAGAATCCCAGGGCGCCCCACCGTGGGGGCACTCTGCCCCAGGACCCTCATCCTAGGACACCTCCCTCTTCCCAAGTCCGAAAGCGGCCCCGTGTAGGGGAGGGGGCCACTGGACTGGGGCAGCGCGTGCTGGGCTGGCTCACCGCGAGGAGCGACCCAGGCCCGCCGCCCCACTCCCGGGTCCAGGCACCGAGGCGGGCCTGGGGTGAGGCGACGACTGTGCAAAGCCGGGCAGTGCCCTGGCCTCCTGACCCCGCCCCGGGGCGGCGGGTGTATTTGCATTAGCCCGCCCCCGGAGCGGCGGGTCTATGCACATGGCCCCGCCCCCAGCGCTCATTGGCGGCGGCGGCGGGAGGCCAGGCCTGAGTG